TACTTTCTGTCAAAAAAGCACATGATTCGAGACTTTAGTGTATGATTTGTCCAAAATAAATAAAATTAAATATCAAATTTTAATATTTCTGTTCTATGTATACTAAATTAGTTCTAACAATATTTATCATTTCCAGTCAATTTCATTCTGTTCTGTCTGTCCACTAACCACAGAATACTGAGAGTGTTGTCAACATGTCTTGCTACACTTCTGCACTTTAAGATCGAAAAAAATTTTTTTCATAAATAATACTATTATTTTGATTATACACTATCTTTATTCGTCTCCACAACACGTTATATATACATTTTACAACCGATATTAATTATATCAACGTTAATTAATTTTATCAAAGCTGCGAGCTGACAGGTCTGAGCGCCGCCATATTAGAAATCTGAGTTGAGTGCGTTCTGATTGGTTGCGTGCTGACGACGCTGACCAATAAGATATGCGTTACATTTTAGCGTTACATTTTACGCGACATCCGAGAAAAATGATGATTTTTTAGTATTTCTCGACTTTGGATGCATATATCTTGATTTATAAAGCACACAGAGCATATTTTTCTTATGTAATTTGGGTATGCGCTTTCGATTGAGCCTATTACCAACTCAATCGGCCCAGCCGTTATTGAGATCCGATAATCTCGGCTCGTCTCAACTTTCGGGCTCGCGTAAAGATACACGGTCGGTCTTGCGCTGCGCGTGAACTTGGCGCGAGACACTACCGTGTCTCTTGATTGTACAATTTTGTGCATGCGCATTTTTTGTTTTGTTTATATATTAATTAAGACTAACCTAAGAAATTCATTACATCATTGAATTTAGTTCGTTGCCGCCCGCAGACGGGATACTTAAAAAAAATACATCATTAAAGAAAGCATAAAAAAATAAGTTATCAATTACGATGAAACGCAAGCCTTCAAATACAATTTTCTACAGAAAAGTAGCACAAGGCACGCAAATGTGTTCGGAATTTGGAAATTTTAAGAAAAATGTGAATAATACTTTGGAAAACGTTCAAGCACAGATTTTTCCATGTAACGAAGAATCATCATCTGACACTTCTGATAGTGAAATGCCAGAACCACCAAGAGTACATATGAATACTACAACAAATTGTAATACAGAAATTCCAGAAGAAATTAATACCAATGATGAGGTAGTAATTGTCCCAACATCTGTCAATAACGATGAAGATCTTCACCTAAATGAAAATGTGCAAGTGGCTAAGCCGGGAATTGAATCCGGGTCTTCCGCTTGCCGGGCAAATGTTCTGACCACTAAACTACTCAGACCCCACCAGAGATCGGTGTACAACTTAACTGTCTCACGTAGACTAATAAATTAATTTCTTTAAGAAAAATGAAATAATTTTGCACTAACATCCCGCAACGGCTCTCAATGCCTTTCTATTATATTATTTAATAAATAATAATATTGCTGATTAATTTAAAATATATTATTTACAGGCGCTGTAGAAAAAATCCATAGATGTACCCTGGCAAAAATACAGTCAGTTGTATCAAATTGGCTTGTAAAGGCCACAGAACATGTAAACAAGACAAATACACAAAAAAGATAGAAACGGAAATTAAAAATATGACAGATGTACAATGAATATCGCGACTTTTATGCATGTATATTTGTATAATTATTATAAAAGATGTTACACCCCAGTCAACAAAATGTTAGCAACCTGCTGGCAGTTTGCGAGCAGATTCGCTCAGAACTTGGCAGCAAATACGGTGCCATCTGTGTCCGCATTAAGCTCGTGTTCTGTCGACAAAAACTGTCGACATAGGTTGACAGCAGATTGGCGGCAGAAAACGAGCAGGATCTGCGCAGTGTAATTTGATGTCAGATTGTCGGCAGAAATCGAGCGGAATCTGCCGTCACAATTTAAATGGAATAGCGGCATTTAATGCTTCATTACAATTTTACATTTCTCGTTTCGCTTATCAAAAGTAGTAAATGAGGTATGTAAAGTATATAATATATATTTGCTTTATTGGGACAAAAAAAATACTTTTGTTTTAATAAATTTATTAGGCAAAATCTCGAAATCACTGGAATATTGGGTCAACTTGCAGCGCATTTTCAATTTCAAAAATCAGTTTAATATTCTGAATCTCTTATGGGGATTGTATCAGAGATTATTGTATTAAACTGTTAAGCTTCATTAAGCCACTGGCCACACTTTATATGCACTGTAGATGAATTTTAAGTACGAGTTTATATATGAAGAAACATGCCGCATAGCGGCAAACAACATCAAATTGCATTGCGCAGATTTTGCTCGATTTCTGCCGCCAATCTGACATCAAACTGCATTATACAGATCCTGCTCGATTTCTGCCGTCAATCTGATATCAAACTGCGTTGCGCAGGTCCTGCTCGGTTTCTGCCGCCAATATGCTGTAATAATTCCGAGCAAATCCTATTCGGTTTCTGCTACTGATCTGCTGTCAAATTATGTCAGTAGGTTTTGTAACATTTCTGCTGACATTCTGCTATCATCATCTGACGTAACAGATTTTGTATACAATCTGCAGTCTTTCTGCTGACAAAAATTTGTAGCAGACGTTTGGCAATATCTGTTCGAACAGACTTTGCTGACTGGGACGTTACGACCGATACAACCAAAGTGTATTTAATATTAAGGTTACAATAAATATTTAGAGTGTATTTACTATTAAGGTCTCTTTTCTTTCTCTGTATACAGGGTGTCTGGCAATAATCGCCCCACCGGTCATATACAGGTAGAGGAGGTCAAATCGAGTAGAAAAGTCCTTTACCATTTTTTAATTTTCATAATAAGTACTGAGTAATTAACGAAGATTAATTAAGTACGTAATTAAAAGATCGGCGAATCCGCGCGAGTAAAGCGCGCGCGGTGAGAAGGACAT